CGGCGCGCCGTTCACGCACACTAGGGCGGACTCCCACGGGAGACAGTGGCCTGGCCCTTGCCAAGGCGGCCCAGGCAGTGGCGAGTCGGTGGCCAGACCCAGGTGTTTTACCCACTGGTGGACACGGAGAAAGAGAACAGGGCGGGCAGCACTGACGCGAGCGAACCCTAGAAAAATGACCGTAGGGGACGCAGGCACCGTGGCGGGCCAGCTCCAGAGCTGAGTCACTCGCAGGCCGCGAACCGTTTCGCCTCAGACACCACGAGAAAAATAGGAACAAGGAAAAGCCGCCGGGTGGAGGTTGCGGTTCCTTCCCGCCCTGCACGCGGCACGCGGCTGCTGGGTGACCACAGCTGGTCCCAGGTCACGGAAATGCGAGCTCCCGGGTGGAGACCCCCAGCCCGCAGTGCGCGGGCTTCAGCCCCAACGGTGCAAGCCCAGGGGGCCGCGCCCTGGAGGCAGGAGGGGGGCCCGGCCTCCTGAGGCCCGCAGCGCCGGCCCGCGCGGCCTGAGACCCTGCTGTGCCAAACGGACAGGGCAGGTCCGTCTGGACACGGCCAGTGCGTGAAGTGCCGAGGACACGCTTCCAGGACCCGCGGGCCCTAGCAGAGTGCGGGGTGGTCAGGACAGCAGCGGCCACAGCCTGGAGAGCCCGGCTGTGTGGTCGCATTCTCAGAGCCGCCGGCGGAGCCCGGTGATCTCCGGTGGGATCCCGCAGCCGGGGGCCAGCTGACCATCTAGCCGAAGTGGCCTTCTCCTTCCGAGGTGAAGGCGTCAGTCCCCACCAGGCCAGGGCGCCACCACACAGCACTCCTGACTGGGCCGCCCTCCGGCCCTGCCCCTCCGGCCCTGCCCCCTGCCAGCCGGCCTGGAAACTCCTCCCCCGGCCAGACCATCCTCCGTCCTCTGGGCCCTGTGCCCACTCGGACCTCAGGCTGTCTGGTCTGGTCACAGTCACCCCTGCACTGGGCTGTTTTGGGCTCTGATGCCATCTACCCCTCTGGGCGAGGCTCCCCTCCCGGCGTGGCTCTGAGTTTCCCCTGGGGGTCCTGGGCCATACCCCTCCCCCCCACACGTGATGGGTGGGGGGAAGGAGGCCAAGGCGAAGGGGCCTCCCGGCCTGGCCCAGACCCCAGACACACCGTAGCCCCGAAAGCGAACGCTGCCCTTAGAAGGACTGAGCCCAGGACAAGGCCGGGCGCACCCGCGGCCAGTCAGGGACGCTCGGGCGTGCTCGGGCGTGCTCGGGCGTCCGCTGGAACAGATCTGGGGTCTGGCTGTGGCGCGTGCGTGCTGCGGAGCTCGGCGGCCCCGTGGCCAGAGGAGCAGACGCCTGGGCAAATTCGAGGACGCCCGGCCGACTCAGGAGGGCGGGCAGCAGGTGCAGCGCGGGGTGAACCTGGGGGTCAGCCTGGGCGCCCCAGAGGGCGGACACCGCGTCGCTCTGGGCCACCGACGCCCTTCAGGCCTTGGGGGCGGGGCCACACCCCGCGGGGGTTCTCCCTAGAAGCCGGGTGAGGGGCCAAGCTGCACCCACCACCTGCCACCTGCAGGGGGCGCGCACGGCGCTCAGAACCCGGGGGGCGGAGACCTGCGAGGCCGCTGACTCCCCTTCGCCGGCCCGCGCGCGTCTCCCGCGGGGTGCGCCCTCGACCCGGGTTCTCAGGAAAGAATGACGGAGCCGCCGGCTGGGCCCCGGGACCGGCGCTCGGACAGAGGATGAGGCTGGTGCGGCAGGACCCGCAGAGAACAGGGCGGCGAGGGAGGGCGCGGGCGGGGCGGCCGCTACCTGGGTCCGGAGCTTGATCATGTCCGCTTCCATCTGGGAGTTGGACTCGTTCAGCTCCTTGATCTCCTCGTCCAGCTGCTTGATCTCCTCGTCGTTCTCGATGCCTGTGGACAGAGGCTCGTCAGCCGCGGCCCCCACAGCGCTGCTCTGCGCGTCTGCACTTGCGGGCCAGCGGCAGGGGCCACCGCCTGACTTAGACGACTGTGTGTCTCCCCTCAGTGCCCCCCACAGTGGCACCTCGCAGCAGGAAGGCGTGCCCTGAGCCCCGCCCCCCGACCCTGTCTCCCACCCCAGCTGCTCAGCTGGAGCTGGGGGTCTGGAGACCCAGGAACCAGCCTCTGGGGTGTGGACAGCCTGGCAGGCCCCTCTCCCGTTTCCCTCTGTCCCCGCCATGAGTCTGGGAACAGCGAGGCTCTGGGATGCCTCTGAGGGGTCCCTCCCCTCAGAAATTTAGACAGGCCCTGATTCAGCGACCCTGAGTACCGTCCAGCTAGTGACAGGAGGACAGATGTGACCGTCCCTAGGCGGCAGCGCAGGGCTTTCTGGGCATAGACACGAACTGACAAAATCACCCTCATTTTGAATGACGGAGAGTGAGCTGGAAGCGGCTCCCCTCATTGCAGGAGTGGGTGCTCGGCCTGCCCCGGCATGCCCCCCGCCTGCCCCCCAGCCCCCTGTGTGTCCCCCAGCCCCCCTGCCTGCTCCTCCTCCAGCATGAATCCATCTCTGGCTTGGGAGCCTCTGGCATGACCCTGTGCCTCAACCCCCCATATATGCATTCCGAGGGTCCCCGCGCTGGCGGGAGCTGGAGGATGACACTGCCCCTGACCCCAGCTGTTGCCCAAACCCAAGGCCTGGTCCCAGACCATCAACAACAGCAAGCCTCCCTTTTTATCAGTTGCACCCCAAAAGCGAGTAAGAGAGGATCAAGGACAGCCAAGAGCAGCCTTGGTGCGGCCCCTCGCCCCAGCCCACGGGACGCTGGCCCCACCCGTGTGACCCGCCTTCTAGGCGTGTGCTCAGCCCTCGGGGTCGGGTCCTTGGCCTGACCGGGCAACGCAGGGCTCCCCCAGATGAGAAGGTCCAGCGCAGAGAATCCGGCTCTGCCGGCAGTGGCACAGACCGGCTGTGCGGCTAGGCAGGGGTTCCCCGGGCCTCCCCAGGACAGCGAGTGCTGCGCAGGATCTGCGGAGGGTTCCCAGAGCCCGTCTCAGGGCTCCTGTTTGCCGCTGGACCCTTTGGGAGTCTTTCCCGGTGGCCCGCATCCTCCAGCCGAGCTTGCAGGGACTTTGATGACGTCCCCAGAGGAGCTGCCGCATCCAGGGGCTGCTTTGCCGGCTGAGGCTTCTGCGAGGGTGCCCCACGGTCTCCAGTCCCTTCACGATGGAGAGCCCATGCACGGACGACCCCAGGAGTCCCTCGGGCAAAGGCCCATGGGGCCTGAGTCAGGCAGCGCCCCAGCCCCACTGGCAGAGGACGAAGATCACGTGGCCCGCAGCCGGCGCGCTCCTCGGTTCTGCTGACCTGACCAGGGCCCGCAGAGCTGCGTGGCCAGGGCGCTCTGGGGTGTGTGGGCTCCCGCACGAACCCCAGTGTGTGCCCCCAAATGTCTTTCCAGTGAGTTTAAATAGTTACTGAATATGTACGCGTTACATATACTGTTCTGGAGAGTTGTGTGCTGCAGAACGCTGTAAGCTACTTCCCCGAAACCTGGGATCACAGGGGCGGGTTTATGGGAAGCAGCAATAAGGTCCCCAGTTCGCCGCTGCGAAAGCCGCGGCGCCAGAGCCCAGGGCTGCGGTCCACTTTCCATGCCAGCGTCATTTCAAATCCAATAAAAACCCGAGCCTGAGGTCCTGGGGCGGCAAGATGGTCTCAGCGGGAGGCGGACAGGAGACCCAGGTTTAGCTGTCTAGAGCCAGGGGCTGCACCTGTGCTCTGTCCCACCTACCCACCCAGTGCCCCAGGCCCCGCCCAGGCAGGCTCTGCCCCGCCCAGGCCCCGCCCAGGCAGGCTCTGCCCCGCCCAGGCCCCACCCACCCTGTTCTGCCCAGCCCCAGGCCCCGCCCCACCCGTGCTCGGGTCCATCCAGGCCCCGCCCCCACACTGTGGTGCACTTGCTCTGGGCTGCCGGAGGAGACTGGGGGTCGGGGGACGTTCGGGGAACCAGGCCACCATCAGGACTCTGCGCGTCGCGGGGTGTGTCTGGTGAGCACGTCCAGGGCTCAAGCTGAGCTGTGTTTCTGGACTGCGGCCGCAGGCGGGCGCGGGCTGCCCAGCTGGGCTCTCCTGAGCCTCCGCACCCGCCAGGACACGGGGGTGGGCTGCCGCGGCCGGGCAGCTTCCTTCCTCCTCCCGCCCTGCTGCCCGGAAGCAGAACGCAGAACCCGCACGCCCTGCCCGGGCACAGGTGTGGGACCGGCTGTCCCCAGATACGGGTGGCCATGGGGCAGGGAGGCTGCTACCGTCGGCCTACATCTCGGGGCCCACCGTGGCCATGTGCCCTGCCCGGGAGGCGGTCGCCTGTGAGGGGCGGGGCCAGGGCGCGCCAGGGGCTCTGCTCTGTGAGGCCATGTCAGTCCCTGCAGGGACACGGGTGGGGGTCCCCAGAGCCTCAGCTCCACTCCTGGGGGGGCGGTTCACAGTCCCTCGCAGGGTGAGATGGGGGCCAGTTTGTGCAACTGTACAAATTGCTCTGCTGCTAGTTTTGGGGTGCTATGAGCTGCAGTGTCTTTGCAAACACAACTGTGTCTAGGAGGACTGAGGGCTGGCGCGCTCACCTGTGCCCACACCTGTCCACATTCGCACCAACCCTGGCTTGTTCCCACCCTGGCCGGCCCCACACCCGCCCACGACTGCCCCCTCCTACGCCATGGCCTGTGCACGCCTGGGCCCACCCATAACTGCCCGTGCCTGTCCACACCCTGCCTGCCCACATGGCCCCTGCCCTCCTCTGTCCACTCCCTGCCTGCCCATGCCCGCTCCTGTCCACACCCCGCCCACCCACACCCACCAATGCTCCCCCAGTCCGTACCCTCGCCCGTCGGCCCCCAGGTCTGCCCGCGCGCGCCCACCCTGCCCAGAGCCCATCTGAGGTGTTGTGTCTAGAAACTCCCACGTGACGGTCTGTCCACTGCCAGCCCCGCGTCCCGCCAGGGTCCCACCGGGGCAGCGGTGGGCTTTCCCAGACTCCCGCCCCGGCCTGGCGGCAGACCATGCAGGAAGGGTCGCACCCTGCGGCAGGCGCTCGCGCCCGGGTCAGCGGGGGCAGGAGCCAGCGCAGGGAGCAGACGGGGCCCTGGTAAGGTCTTGTGTGGCGCTGGGGGCTTCTGGGGACCTTGGCCCGAAGCTGCTGGGGTGGGAGGCAGCCCTGGGCGAGGCAGCAGCCCGGGTGGAGGGAGGCGACACAACTGCTGCCGAGAGCTGTACAGCAGGCTCTGCCGCGTTGCAAGGGGGCCGGGGCGCAGGTGGGGGCCGACGGGG